TAGGAAAGGGAGGGGTAGGAGAAAGGGAGGGGGTGGGTGGGTGGAAGGGAGGGAGGATGGGAGGGGTGGGAGGAAAAAAAAGGAAGGAAGGAAGGGAGGGAGGATGGGAGAGGTGGGAGGAAGGCAGGAAGGAAGGGGTGGGTGGAAGGAAGAAATAGAGGAAGGCAGAGGTAGAAGGAAGGAAGGGAGGGAGGGACGGGTGGGTGGAAGTAAGGGGTGGGAGGAAGGAAGGCAGGAAGGGGTGATTGGAAGGAAGGGGGGGGGTGGGGGGTGGGTGTAAGGAAGAAAGGGAGGAAAGGAGAGGTGGGCGGAAGGAAGAAAGGGGTGGAAAAAAGGAAGGGGAGGGGGTGGTGGAAGGAATGAAGGGTGGAAGGGAGGGGCGGGTGGAAGGAAGGGAGGGGGGATGGAAGGAAAGAAGGGAGGAAGGGAGGGAGGGGTGGGTGGAAGGAAGGATGGATGGATGGAAGAAAGGGAGGGGGTGGGTGGATGGAAGGAAGGGGGGAGTGGGTGGAAAGAAGAAAGGGAGGAATGGAGGGATGGGTGGAAGGAAGGGAGGGAGGTGTGGATGGAGGGAAGGAAGGAAGAGAGGGGTGGGTGGAAGGAAGGAAGAGTGGGTGGAAGGGAGGCTGTGATATGAACGGGAGACTGATGTGAAGTGGAGACTGATGTGACAGGAAACCGTGATATGAAGGGGGACTGTGATGTGACGGGAAACCATGATATGAAGGCAGGACTGTGATGTGAGGGGAGACCGTGATATGAAGTGGGACTGTGATGTGACGGGAGACCGTGATATGAAGGGGGACTGTGATGTGGACGGGGGCTGTGATGTGAATGAGGGCTGTGATATGAAGGTGGGACTGTGATGTGAGGGGAGACAGTGATATGAAGGCGGGACTGTGATGTGAGGGGAGACCGTGATATGAAGTGGGACTGTGCCCCCTTCACATCACTGTCCCCCTTCACATCACACTCCCGCCTTCATATCACGGTTTCCCGTCACATCACAGTCCCGCCTTCAAATCACGGTTTCCCGTCACATCACAGTCTCCACTTCACATCAGTCTCCCGTTCACATCACAGCCACCCTCCCCCCCTTCATGTTACAGCTCCTCCCTCACATTAGTGTCCTCAGTCCTCCATCACAGAGTCCTCAGATTACATTTATATCACAGCCCCCTCTTTCCATCACTGTCCTTCCATCAGTGTCCTTCCATCAGTGTCCTTCCATCAGTGTCCTTACATCAATGTCCTTAGCTCCTTTCGCAGTCCTACAATACATGGCTTCACAGCAGCATCTCAGATGTTGGGAGGCAGAAGATGACAATTAGAGATGAGCGAATTATTCAAAAATTCGATTCGACTGATTCGGCGAATTCGTGGAAAAAAATCGATTCGAGTCGAATATATTCGCTGCGAATTTAACTTATAAAAGGGTGTTTCTAGGCTTCAGAGAGCCTTTATATTAGTGCAGAACACTGTACCTTTAATTTAAATGCCCTTGGAGTCTGCTGGGGAAGAGAAATAATACTGTCAGTCAGTATGACATGCAGATGAGTGCCGTCGATCTTAGAATCACCGCACACTTCACTCATTTGGGCAGTCACGGGGCCAAAACCAGAGTGTGGAGCCACAGTGTGGCGGTGGAGGCAGCAGCAATGGGAGGCCATACAGCACCCTATGACAAAATGGAACCCACCAGCAGTGTGAGGAGACCTGAAAGTGGCACATGGCAGAGTGTGGCGATGGAGACAGCAGCAATGGGAGGCCGTACAGGGACCCATGACACACTGTGGACCTGGCAGCAGCATGAGGAGGCGGTACAGGGGCCCATGACAAATTACGGGCCTGGCAGCAGCATGAGGAGTCGGTACGGGGGCCCATGGCAGATTACGGGCCTGGCAGCAGCAATAGGAGGCCGTACAGGGACCCATGACAGACTCTGGACCTGGCAGCAGCATGAGGAGGCGGTACAGGGGCCCATGACAGATTACGGGCCTGGCAGCAGCATGAGGAGTCGGTACGGTGGCCCATGACACACTCTGGACCTGGCAGCAGCATGAGGAGGCGGTACAGGGGCGCATGACAGATTACGGGCCTGGCAGCAGCATGAGGAGTCGGTACGGGGGCCCATGGCAGATTACGGGCCTGGCAGCAGCATGAGGAGTCGGTACGGGGGCCCATGGCAGATTACGGGCCTGGCAGCAGCAATGGGAGGCCGTACAGCACCCTATGACAAAATGGAACCTACCAGCAGTGTGAGGAGACCTGAAAGTGGCACATGGCAGAGTGTGGCGATGGAGACAGCAGCAATGGGAGGCGGTACAGGGACCCATGAGACACTGTGGACCTGGCAGCAGCATGAGGAGGCGGTACAGGGGCCCATGGCAGATTAGGGGCCTGGCAGCAGTAATGGGAGGCCCGTAATCTGCCAGCACTCTATGACAAAATGGAACCCAGCAGCAGTGTGAGGAGACCTGAAAGTGGCACATCGCAGAGTGTGGCGATGGAGACAGCAGCAATGGGTGGCGGTACAGGGACCCATGAGACACTGTGGACCTGGCAGCAGCATGAGGAGGCGGTACAGGGGCCCATGACAGATTACGGGCCTGGCAGCAGCATGAGGAGTCGGTACGGGGGCCCATGGCAGATTACGGGCCTGGCAGCAGCAATGGGAGGCCGTACAGGGACCCATGACACACTCTGGACCTGGCAGCAGCATGATGAGGCGGTACAGGGGCCCATGACAGATTACGGGCCTGGCAGCAGCATGAGGAGTCGGTACGGGGGCCCATGGCAGATTACGGGCCTGGCAGCAGCAATGGGAGGCCATACAGCACCCTATGACAAAATGGAAACCCACCAGCAGTGTGAGGAGACCTGAAAGTGGCACATGGCAGAGTGTGGCGATGGAGACAGCAGCAATGGGAGGCGGTACAGGGACCCATGAGACACTGTGGACCTGGCAGCAGCATGAGGAGGCGGTACAGGGGCCCATGGCAGATTAGGGGCCTGGCAGCAGCAATGGGAGGCCCGTAATCTGCCAGCACTCTATGACAAAATGGAACCCAGCAGCAGTGTGAGGAGACCTGAAAGTGGCACATCGCAGAGTGTGGCGATGGAGACAGCAGCAATGGGTGGCGGTACAGGGACCCATGAGACACTGTGGACCTGGCAGCAGCATGAGGAGGCGGTACAGGGGCCCATGACAGATTACGGGCCTGGCAGCAGCATGAGGAGTCGGTACGGGGGCCCATGGCAGATTACGGGCCTGGCAGCAGCAATGGGAGGCCGTACAGGGACCCATGACACACTCTGGACCTGGCAGCAGCATGATGAGGCGGTACAGGGGCCCATGACAGATTACGGGCCTGGCAGCAGCATGAGGAGTCGGTACGGGGGCCCATGGCAGATTACGGGCCTGGCAGCAGCAATGGGAGGCCATACAGCACCCTATGACAAAATGGAAACCCACCAGCAGTGTGAGGAGACCTGAAAGTGGCACATGGCAGAGTGTGGCGATGGAGACAGCAGCAATGGGAGGCGGTACAGGGACCCATGAGACACTGTGGACCTGGCAGCAGCATGAGGAGGCGGTACAGGGGCCCATGGCAGATTAGGGGCCTGGCAGCAGCAATGGGAGGCCCGTAATCTGCCAGCACTCTATGACAAAATGGAACACACCAGCAGTGTGAGGAGACCTGAAAGTGGCACATGGCATGACACACTGTGGACCTGGCAGCAGCATGAGGAGGCGGTACAGGGGCCCATTCCAGATTACAGGCCTGGCAGCAGCAATGGGAGGCCCGTAATCTGCCAGCACTCTATGACAAAATGGAACCCAGCAGCAGTGTGAGGAGACCTGAAAGTGGCACATGGCAGAGTGTGGCGATGGAGACAGCAGCAATGGGAGGCGGTACAGGGACCCATGACACACTGTGGACCTGGCAGCAGCATGAGGAGGCGGTACAGGGGCCCATGGCAGATTACAGGCCTGGCAGCAGCAATGGGAGGCCCGTAATCTGCCAGCAACCTATGACAAAATGGAACCCAGCAGCAGTGTGAGGAGACCTGAAAGTGGCACATGGCAGAGTGTGACTGTCAGGGCTCCCAGGTATGACCAGAGGTGTGTGACTGATGCAGGGAAACGCAGACTTCAGATATGTGATATACAATATAATTTATTAACACTAACAATACAAACATAAACGCAGTGCAATACTAAACATAATACAGTGCAAACAAACCCAACCAACCACCCACAGATAACAGTACATACAAGCAAGCGTCGTCAGGCAGCCGGGTCAATATCAATTGGGCAGGTAGGTACAGGGGGAGCAAGCGGAGATGGGTCGGGGTCACAGGCCAGGTTCAGCAGGTAGCAAGCAGCGTAGTACAGAGGGTCAGGCAGAGGGATGGTCAGGGTCACAAGCCAGGGATCAGAACAGGTAGCAAGCAGCGTAGTACAGAGGGTCAGGTAGAGGGATGGTCAGGAGCGAGCCAGGATCAGAGCAGGAGAAGTCAGCAGCAGTTCAGATCAGGCAGGGTCAGCAAAGGAACAGAAACAGGATGCAGGACAGATACAGGGCTCAGGACAAACACAACACCAAGGCAGAGTCTGCAAGTCTGGCCATCCCTTAAATACACTATCATCAGTTCCAGGTGTTAGCTGGCTGAAAGGTTGAGTCTCTGATTGCTGGGAGCACCCGCTGGCCAGCCCTGGTACTGCAGATCAAAAGGCAGGTGAGTCCCACCATTGCTGGCCAGTCCATTCCTGACAGTACCCCCCTCTCAAGGAGCGGCCTCAGGACGCTCCAAACAGTCCTAGCTGGGCAAAATGTTCCACCGCCCGGGTCTGGTAACTGGCGGGATATCAAAGACTGGCACACCGGGCAGGACTCCGGGCAGCGGCACACCGGGCTGGACTCCGGGCAGAGGCACATCGGGCTGGACTCCAGGCAGAGGCACATCGGGCTGGACTCCGGGCAGAGGCACACCGGGCAGAGGCACATCGGGCACAGGCACACCGGGCAGAGGCACATCGGGCAGAGGCACATCGGGCTGGACTCCGGGCAGAGGCACATCAGAGGGCAGGACTCCGGGCAGAGGCACATCGGGCAGGACTCCGGGCAGAGGCACATCGGATTACCAGGCGAAGCAGCAGGCAGCGGGCCACCAGGCGGAGCAGCAGGCACCGGGCCCCCGGGTGGAGCAGCAGGCACCGGGCCCCCGGGCGGAGCAGCGGGCACTGGGCCCCCGGGCAGAGCAGCGGGGGCACCGGGCCCCCGGGCGGAGCAGCGGGCAGCAGGCCCCCGGGCATCAGGTCATTTGGCTCGACAGCGGGCACCGCGTCATCTGGCAAGGCAGTGGGCTCTGAGTCAACAGGCACGACAGGGGCACCGGGTCATCAGGTACCGGATTGTCTGGCTCGACAGCGGGCATCGGGTCACCAGGTATGACAGCGGGCACTGGGTCACCAGGCATTAGGTCATTTGGCTCGACAGCGGGCACCGCGTCATCTGGCAAGGCAGTGGGCTCCGAGTCAACTGGTATGACCGCGGGCACTGGGTCAGACATTGGATCGTCTGACTCGACAGCGGGCATCGGGTCACCAGGTATGACAGCGGGCCCTGGGTCACCAGGCATCAGGTCATTTGGCTTGCCAGCGGGCACCGCGTCATCTGGCAAGGCAGTGGGTGGGGCGGGTCACCAGGCATTGGATCGTCTGGCTGGATCAGTTCATCATCATGCTGGGTAGAGGCATCGGGCTGAATGCCGGCGTCCGGCTGAGTAGAGGCTTCAGGCCGAGTAGAGGCTTCAGGCCGAGTAGAGGCATCAGGCCGAGTAGAGGCATCAGGCCGAGTAGAGGCTTCAGGCCGAGTAGAGGCTTCAGGCTGAAGAGAGGCATCAGGCTGTGTACAGGCATCCGGCTGAGTACAGGCATCAGGCTGAGTAGAGGCTTCAGGCCGAGTAAGGGCTTCAGGCATCAGGCCGAGTAGAGGCTTCAGGCCGAGTAGAGGCTTCAGGCCCGAGTCACGGAAGGCAGGTTCACCGGTTTGGATACTGGCAGGATGGTATTGGTTGGAAAGAATTTTCGCTTTTTTCTGGTTTTAACTACTGGAGCACTGCAAGTAAACGCAGCTCTGCAAACGAATGGAGCAGCTGGAGACAGAGAAGAACTGGAGGATGGAACAGGAGGTGGAGCAGTTGCTACAAAGGGCTTTTTTACAGGGTTAAAGGCAGGATAGGTGCAGCGAGTGGGAACAGGGTACTGACATGCGGTAGATAGCCAAGTATACTGGGCTGTAACTGGAGGAGCTGTTGGGAATACAGGAGTAGAGTTAGAAGCAGGACTGGGGTTTTTTGTAAGCTGACTGAGGCTGGGTGCAACAAGTCTGTCCATGTCTGCAGTATGGGGTTGAACAAAGCTGAGCTTACACAAAGCCTGTCTGGTCAATGACTGCACTGCGTTTATACAATCTCTTAGTGTCTGTGGTGAACATGTGGAATAACGCTCCAGAAAGTAACCCACATCATCCTCTAATAACCACACCAGGGACTCTACCTGGTCTGCACTAAATGGTGGCAAAAATTCATCCCTGCATTCGGGGGTACCAGATGAAACCAACTCTGCACAAACCTCAATGAAAGGCTGCACCTCAGAGAACTCTGTGCCCTGATCTACTAGAACATGAGCGAGCCGTATACATTCTAGTAGTTGATCCCTGGGATACTCCTTCAGAGTTTGATAAGCATACTCCCTGTCATCAAACACTAGCAGATATAAATACACAACCTCATCCAGATCCATCCTTCCCAGCAACAAGCCAAGATGGCTTCCCTGGTGCAGCCACTTCTGGTCGGGATTGGCCTTGGTGTAATGTCAGGGCTCCCAGGTGGAGCGACAGGTCTCGGGCCCTCAGGCGGAGCGGCGGGCGCCGGACCCCCAGGTGGAGCGACAGGTCTCGGGCCCTCAGGAGGAGCGACAGGTCTCGGGCCCTCAGGCGGAGCGGCGGGGCGCCGGCCCCCCCAGATCTCGGGAGCGACAGGTCTCGGGCCCTCAGGTCTCGGGCCCTCAGGACAGAGCGGCGGGCGCCGGACCCCCAGTTGGAGCGACAGGTCTCGGGCCCTCAGGCGGAGCGGTGGGCGCCGAGTCACCAGGCACGACAGTGGGCTCCGAGTCAACTGGCATGACCGCTGGCACTGGGTCAGACATTGGATCGTCTGGCTGGACAGCGGGCATCGGGTCACCAGGCATCAGGTCATTTGGCTCGACCGCGGGCACCGCGTCATCTGGCAAGGCAGTGGGCTCCGAGTCAACTGGTATGACCGCGGGCACTGGGTCAGACATTGGATCGTCTGACTGGACAGCGGGCATCGGGTCACCAGGCATCAAGTCATTTGGCTCGACAGCGGGCACCGCGTCATCTGGCAAGGCAGTGGGCTCCGAGTCAACAGGCACGACAGTGGGCACCGGGTCATCAGGTACCGGATTGTCTGGCACGACAGCGGGCATCGGGTCACCAGGTATGACAGCGGGCACTGGGTCACCCGGCATCAGGTCATTTGGCTTGCCAGCGGGCACTGCGTCATCTGGCAAGGCAGTGGGTACCGGGTCACCAGGCATTGGATCGTCTAGCTCGACAGCGGGCATCGGGTCACCAGGTATGACAGCGGGCACTGGGTCACCAGGCATCAGGTCATTTGGCTCGACAGCGGGCACCGCGTCATCTGGCAAGGCAGTGGGCTCCGAGTCAACAGGCACGACAGTGGGCACCGGGTCATCAGGTACCGGATTGTCTGGCTCGACAGCGGGCATCGGGTCACCAGGCATCAGGTCATTTGGCTTGCCAGCGGGCACCGCGTCATCTGGCAAGGCAGTGGGCACCGGGTCACCAGGCGTTGGATCGTCTGGCTCGACAGCGGGCATCGGGCCCCCAGGCGGGGCGACAGGCATCGGGTCCCCAGGCGGGGTGACCGGCATCGGGCCCCCAGGCGGGGCGACAGGCATCGGGCCCCCAGGCAGGGCGACGGGCATCAGGCCCCCAGGCGGAGCGGCGGGCCCCCCGGCGGGGCGACAGGCATCGGGTCCCCAGGCGGGGCGACAGGCATCGGGTCCCCAGGCGGGGCGACAGGCATCGGGTCCCCAGGCGGGGCGACAGGCATCTGGTCCCCAGGCGGGGCGACAGGCATAGGGTCCCCCAGGAGGGGCGATGGGCGCCGGGCCCCCAGGCGGGGCGACGGGCATCAGGGCCCCCAGGCGGGGCGGCGGGGGCGCCGGACCCCCAGGTGCAGCGACAGGTCTCGGGCCCTCAGGCGGAGCGGCGGGCGCCGGACCCCCAGGTGGAGCGACAGGTCTCGGGCCCTCAGGCGGGGCGGCGGGCGCCGGACCCCCAGGTGGAGCGACAGGTCTCGGGCCCTCAGGCGGAGCGGCGGGCGCCGGACCCCCAGGTGGAGCGACAGGTCTCGGGCCCTCAGGCGGAGCGCGGGGCGCCGGACCCCTAGGTGGAGCGACAGGTCTCGGGCCCTCAGGCGGAGCGGCGGGCGCCGGACCCCCAGGTGGAGCGACAGGTCTCGGGCCCTCAGGCGGAGCGGCGGGCGCCGGACCCCCAGGCGGAGCGACAGGTCTCGGGCCCTCAGGCGGAGCGGCGGGCGCCTGACCCCCAGGCGGAGCGACAGGTCTCGGGCCCTCAGGCGGAGCGACAGGTCTCAGGCCTCCAGGCGGAGCGGCGGGCGCCGGACCCCCCAGATGGAGCGACAGGTCTCGGGCCCTCAGGCGGAGCGGCGGGCGCCGGACACCCAGGTAGGTACAGGGGGAGCAAGCAGAGAATGGTCGGGGTCACAGGCCAGGTTCAGCAGGTAACAAGCAGCGTAGTACAGAGGGTCAGGCAGAGGGATGGTCAGGGTCACAAGCCAGGGATAAGAACAGGTAGCAAGCAGCGTAGTACAGAGGGTCAGATAGAGGGATGGTCAGGAGCGAGCCAGGATCAGAGCAGGAGAAGTCAGCAGCAGTTCAGATCAGGCAGGGTCAGCAAAGGAACAGAAACAGGATGCAGGACAGATACAGGGCCCAGGACAAACACAACACCAAGGCAGAGTCTGCAAGTCTGGCCATCCCTTAAATACACCAGTATCATCAGTTCCTGTTAGCTAGCTGAAAGGTTGAGTCTCTGATTGCTGGGAGCACCCGCTGGCCAGCCCTGGTACTGCAGATCAAAAGGCAGGTGAGTCCCACCATTGCTGGCCAGTCCATTCCTGACCGTGACGATGGAGACAGCAGCAATGGGAGGCCGTACAGGGACCCCCATGAGACACTCTGGACCTGGCAGCAGCATGAGGAGGGCGGTACAGGGGCCCATGGCAGATTACAGGCCTGGCAGAAGCAATGGGAGACGCCCGTAATCTGCCAGAAACCTATGACAAAATGGAACCCAGCAGCAGTGTGAG